GGCGGGGGCGCGCCGAGCCGCGGGCGGGGTGCGGGCGGGGGCGCGCGGACCGGGCCGGGGCGGGCCGAGGGTCGGAGCGGGTGCGGCGGGCCGGACCTGGCCCGGGGACGCGGCGGAAGATGGCGGCGGGGTCCCGGCGCGGTGCGGGGTCCCGTTGCGGGGTCCCGGTGCGGGGTCCCGGTGCGGTGCGGGGTGTCGCGGCGAGGTCCCGGGCCGGTGCTGGGTGGCGGGGCCCGGGTCGCGGTGTCGGGCGGCGCGGGTGCCGGGCGCGGCGGAGGGGTCCCGCGGGCCGCCGGTGGGGTTCCGGGAGGGGTTCCAGTGTGCGCTTGACCCAGCCGGTCCGAGTAGCTCCTGGGGAAGAGTTTGGCACGGGTGCCCCCGCGGTGGACCGCACGTTCCTTGTGAGAGAACTCGCCTGCTTGGTTCCGCGGTGCCCTGCGATGCCCGGCTTGGAGAGTGGCCCCGGAGCGACCGCCGGGCCCCGCCTAGGACGCTCGGATCCTCTACCCCGTAGACGGTGCTGCGCGTCGAGCGGTACGAGCCCGGGAGCGGCGCCTGCACTTCGCTAAATTTGATCGCAGACTTGCAGCCGTTCAAGATGGATTTGTCATAGACCAGGGGCTCTAACGTCATCATTTAGGTAGCTTGTGAGAGTGGCTTATTGTAAAAGTAACCGATTTTTTCCTGAAGATGTTGGTACTTTTCGTCAAAGGATAGAAGAAGACCCCAGCTTTAGGCCTCATCTCATGATACTGAAAACAGGAGTGTTCGGTTGGTATTATAAAGATGAATTTAAGTGAACTGCCAACGTGTTCGCCAGTACGATTACTGGTGATGCAGTCGAACCTGGTTGACTTGGAAGGTGGCACACTGCCTCTCATCTTCTTCATCTCTTGTTCTTTAATGTATTTAGGGTGGAGAGTGATGTGTGGATCATCTCGCTGCAATAGTTGATGGATCTAAAATGTACCCTTGTGTTAGGGACCACTGCTCACAATTCCTATGAATGCACTGCTTTCTTAGTGGGCCAGTTGGAGTTGAAGTATTTAAGAGTTAAGTGTGCTTTAGAATTGAGTAAACTTGTCCCGTGGAGGATGGCCAGCTCTAAAAATTAACAATCTCTGTTTATAATTTTAAGTGTCAGCAAGTTACCTGGTTAATGATCTGAGGTTCCTGTTCTCTAGCTTACATTTAGTTACATTTCTGTGACAGTGTAACCTAATTTTAGGGAAGTCCTAATTGTGAATAGCAGAAATGGTCGTTACTTGAGTAGTAACATTCTGTTTACAATTTTCATTTTTGTTTCTAATTGTTAACTGTCCGAAACTTTAAAAGAAAAGCCTGAAGGTGAGAAAGTGATGCAGAGTGTAGACCTCAGGGACCTTGACTCTCCCAGGCCAAAATAAAAATTTCAAGAATAGAACCAATGATTTTGAAATAGTCATCAAAACATCGAACCAAATTATTGATAGAGTCCAATCTGAGCCTTCTGTTAACACAGTACATCACCCGTCAGTGGCTCTGGTAAGTCTTTGGAGTAGTAGTGAGATTTCCCTGATAACCTGTGCTTTGTGAACATGTCTGTCACTGACCTGCTGAAACTCCAGGGCTTATTATCTGCTTTCATCATTGAAGAAGTGCTAAATTTCAGCTAGAAGTTATTGCAGATAAATATTTTTTTTCCCTTAGGTTCACATAGCAAGTTCTTCAATAGAAGTTCATGTACGCTGAGCCCCTCCTTTATTAGGAATATGGATGGATGTGTTCTTTTTCCCACTTCCTGACACAGTTTTGTTGATGGCAGAGGTGACTAGGAATTCAAATAGCAGGACAAGGGAAACAGCTTAGCTGTGTAGGCTCATGGTGAGGCAAGTCTGTGAGGGTGAGAGAAGAAGCCACAGCTGCAGGAAAGGCTGTCTCCCACTGGTTGTACTGACTGAGCAGCTGTTATGGGTCTGTCTTCAGCTGTTTAAGAAGAAATGTAAAGTGGATGTATGGTGTGCAAAAAGTTCAGTCTGGAGATGGATGAACATTTGAGGACTAGAAGGCATGGTCATTTGTTGAGAAGTGTCTGTAGGCCTGGCCACCAAAGGTGGCCAAGTGTCCTGCAGATGCGAGTGAGTGCCAGTTACCTAGCTTGCTGCCTGCTCTCTGCAGGTGGGTGTCAGTCGCTGCCAGTTTATTGTTTCTGAAAAATTCACACAGAGAGCAAGCAGTGTGATATTATAGCAAATAAGTTGTTAAACCTGTATTTAAAAACTGTTGTTCCTTTGATGCCTTAGGGACTTGCGAAGAGGATGGAGCAGCCTCTTAATTCTAAGAAATTTTTGGGATAAAGGTCTACAGCTTAATCTTGAAAACTGCCAATCTGCCAGGTTGAGAGACTGAGGGTCTGTGAACTAGTACAGCATTTGGATTTATTGTGCCTGGGGTGTTGCTTGGTGGCAGAGTGCATGCTCAGCAGGCGCAAAGCCCCAGGTTTGATCCCACATACATACTCAAATGGGATTCATTTTACCATCTGAGGCCTTTCCCTAAAATGATGTGGGGTGATCATGCTGACAGGTCAAGCCATGAGGCTGTACCTTTCTTCCCTCCTTGGGTTAAGCTGCTCAGCATGAATTGTTAGTGTCCCTGCCTGAGGGAGATTATTTGTGCCCAGGGTGATATTGCTATTCTAAAGGTCTGTGTTCCTTAGCTTATCCTCTAGCAAGCATAAAGCTGTCTCTAGGTGAGGCTGCAGAGGGAGGTCTGCTGTGGTCACCAGGAGTAAGCATAAAGAAACCTAGTGGGACCCCTGGAATCAACATATTGCTGAATGTCTGGGCAAGTGGAGCCATGGTTCAGCTCTGTGTTAGCTTTTCATCACTGTGACCAAAATACCTTACGACAACTTAGAGGTGGAAAAGTATTTGGGGCTCACAGTTTCAGAGGTTTAGTCCATGGTTGGCAGATTCCTTTGTCCCGGACCTGAGGTGAGGCAGACCTTATGGTGAAAGAGTGTGGGAGGCAAGCTGCTTAACTCTTGACAGCCAGGAAACAGAGTTGTGGGGTGGGGAGAAGATATGCTAGGGACAAAATATAAACCCCAAAGGCACACCCCTACTTCCTCAAGCCATGTACCACCTATCTATAGTTGCCACTCTATTAGTCCATTCAAATTATTAATCCACCAGATAGATTAATCCACCAAAAGGATTAATCCACTGTTAGATTACAGCTTTCATAATTTAATCATTTCTCTGCTGAACATTCCTGCATTAACACAGCAGGAGCTTTGGGGAACACCTTATACAAGTCATAATAGGCTCTGATGGGATCCACCTGCCCACCAGGGATCTTGGCAGCCTTCAGGAAATTAGACTATTACTCTCAGCTCTGTCCTCCTTTCTGCACACTTGACTTCCTCTAGCTTGGGCCCCACCTAGCTCTACCTTGCAGCCTCTCAGTCCCCAGTGCTACCTGCCTGATCCTCTTCCCTTTCCCAGCACACCTCAGAGAGAGACTGACCAAGCTCTTTTCTCTAACATCCCACACTCAGGCGCTGACCTGTGAGCAGGGGGCTGCCTGGTGCAGTGAGGAATGTTGGGCTTCTGCATCTGCACAGTGCCCCTCCTTACAACAGGGCCTACAGTTGGGGTGGGTCGCTCAGGTTGTGGATTGCTAGGTACCATGATTGCAATTTCTAAAACAGTCTGATCAGATTTGTGCAAAAACAATGCCTTTATGAGAGCTTAGTAGACTCTCAATATATTTAGTTATATGTTCTCCAAGATGTTTTATTAAGATTTGCATTTTTGTGTGTGTGCTAGAATAAATTAAGGTTATAACTATAGGAAAAAGGAAAATTATAAACATTAAATTGTCAAACTTCACATTTAAAAAAATTCAGTTATATGTTTATGGGTACTTTCCCCAAACTTCTATTGTAGAGCTCTCTCTATTTGTATAGTTATATATACAGATTTTACTGTCTTAATTAATTTTAAGTGCACGGCTCAGTGGCATTTAGTTCATTCATGTTCTGCATCCATCTACCTCCAGAACTGTTTTCGTCTTCTTAAACTGAAACTCCTCATGGTTAAACAAACTCCTCTTTCACCCTCTCCCCAGCCCCTTGGCAACCACCATTCTACTGTCTCTCGGAATTTGCCTGTTGTAGGTACTTCAGATAAGTGTAATCACATAATACTTGTCTTTTTGTGATTAACTGTTTCACTTAGCAAATGTTCATCCATATTTCAGCATGTGTCAGAATTTCCACATTTTAAAAAGCTGACCAATCTTCCATTATATGTACCACATTTTGTTTATTCATCCATTGTCTGGGTACTTGAGTTCTTCCACTGTTTGGTTATTGTGAATAATGTGGCTACAAACACAGGTGTGCAAATAACTAAGTTCCTTTGGGTGTAGATTAAGAATTAGAATTCTATATCATATATTAGTTATATGTTTAACTTATTCCCCGCCACGCCCTCCCCACACCCTCCCACCCCCAGTACTGGGGATTGAACCCAGGGTGTTCTACCACTGAGCTCCATCCCCACCCCTTTTTATTTTATTTCAAGTCTGGGTCTTGCTAAGTTGCTGGGGCTGGCCTTGAACTTGGCTTTCTTACCTCAGTCTCCTGAGTTGCCAGAATTACAGGTATGTGCGACTACACATTGCTCTATTTAATTTTTTGAGGAACTACCATACTGTTTTCCTATAGTGTTTGTTCCATTTTATATTCTTATCAACAATGCATAGAGGTTCCAGTTTGTTCAGATCCTTGACATCACCATCACCATCATCATCATTATTATTTATGGTGCTAGTGGTCAAACCTAGGTCTCCCGCAGTCTAAAGGCAGGTGATCTACTATTGAGCTACATCCCCAGCTCCAATTTTCTATTTTTTGATAGTAGCCACTAGTGGGTGTGAAATTGTTTTGATTTGCATTTCCCTATGATCAGTGTGATGTTGAGCATCAAGTCCTTTGTCCATTTTTGAAGCCAGTGGTTTATGTGCGTACATTTTGCAAATTGATCTGTTAAGGTATTTCATGTTGTATTACTAGCCCACATTATGTTTTTCTGTGTATATTTACATAAATATTTCTCATTAAACATTTAAGATCTTAACAATTTTGCAATTGTTTTTATGTATGTGTATACACACACATATTTTATTTATAGTCATGTCCAGTATGTCAAAGTCTTTAGCATTCTCTGTTTTGCCGTCTGAAAGCTGACTTGCTGGTAGTCAGGTTGAAAGGGAGTGTGGATCTGAAGGGCAGCAACTGCTGGAAAGAGGGCCCGATAGGGCCATTTCTATACTACTGCATCCCTGAGCACAGGCAATGCAATGGGAGAAAGACTGCCTTTGAAGGGTTAAGGTTCCTATTTTCTTTCCTTTTTGGTGGTGGGGATTGAACTTAGGGCTTCATGCCTGCTAAGCACATGCTCTACCACTGAGCCATATCCCCAGCTCCCTAGTTCTCATAAAAAACTCATGCATTGATCCTTAATAATTAGGACGTATGAAAGTGTTGCATGTCAGTTTGTAATGATGTGAGAGTCAAAAGTTTTGATGTGAATGTAAATTTACCGTAATAGGTGTCATCTAAAACAAATTATAAAACCAATAAA